TCTCTCTCTCTCTCTCTCTCTCTCTCTCCCTCCCTTCCTCCCTCCTCCCTCTCTCCTTCCCTCCCTCCCTCCCTCTCTCTCTGTCTCTCTCTCTCTCTCTCTCCAAACAAACAAAAAACCCTTAAACATTCATAAGTAAATCATAAGAGACAAGATCAAAAATGTATTTACAAAGCTGTTTATCATAGTACTAATAGGAAAAAAAAAATGGAAACAACCTGAGTATCCATCCTGAATGGGAAATAGTTTTTATCAATTAGCTATGTGTAGTATGGGATAAAATCGCCATTAATAATGCTTTTCTAAGACTTGATGTGGGCTTATACTTAGGATGTAATAAGTGAAAAAATAAATTATATTTACAGAGTGATTCTAATTTTAAAATGTGTAAAGGATAAGAGTTGAAAAGTGAGTACATGTAATGTTAACAGTTGTTATCTCTGTGTTAGATTCATGACTGATTTTATTTTGTTTCTTGTCCTTTTATTTGAAAATGTTGTTCATTGACCATGTTTCTCTTATAATCAGACAACTCCGAAATTCAGTCATAGCCAGTACAATCAGTTGTTTATTGTGTTGGCACCACTTGTGAAATATTGATGATAGGTTATTAGAAATTTTATGTCTAAAAATAAATTAGTTTTCAGTCAGATTTTAAGCATAAACTGAAGATAGATACAAAGCTCTTCTGGAACTGGGATGACTACATATATAAAAATGAAGACATTGAAGAATTCTTGTTTTCACCATCCTCTCCTATGCATTTTTCTCTTAAGCATTTTTTCCTGTAGTTTACTGTTAGAGGACTTCTTTAGTTTTTTTGTGTGTATCTTTTCTAGTTTACTTGTAATAGTCTCTAAGCTTTTTAATGCCTATCTTCAGGTATCCAGTCACCACCAATGGTGAATTCTGACAATATTACTATAAATATTCTTCTATATCATTTGTGTGTGTGTGTGTGTGCGCGCGCGTGTGTGTGTGTGTGTATGTGTCTCTGAAGTTATTAAAGATAATCTCTAATTTATTTCTTAATTCATGTGTATTTGACTACTCTGTATAATGAATGATGTGAGGGGAGCGTGTGTGTGTCTTCCTTTCTGCTTATTCGGGAACTCATTGCTCCAACATACCCTTTCCTCACTCAGTTGCAGTATCAACCTTGATATTTATCAGTTTTTCTCTACTCTGTTCAGTTTATTGATCTCTTGTGCCACTACTGTATTATCTTACTACTATATCTTTCCTTCCTTCCTTCCTTCCTTCCTTCCTTCCTTCCT